TTTTTCTACATCTTTTAAAACATTAAATATGAGCATGTTAGGGCTAGCTTGTAAAATAATTAATATATTATCTCACTAAAACATTTATACTAATAAAAATTTAATTTTAGCATATAAATTTATCCCTTGATATAAGAGAAAGTAACAGTTTTACTTATTGTTGTTCACCATATAATATTTAATTATTATTTTATTATATAATAAAAAAGTAATATTGTTAAATAGTGTAGTAGAATTGTTATAAAATTATATGATTTTTTTTTACAATATGGATTTAATATTTTTTTATGATTTGATAATATAAACAAATCTATACTTAACTTTGACAAATAAAACAAATAAATACTTTAGTAAGTATTTAATATATATACTAAATAGGAATATATTTGATATAATCAAATACCAAATATAATCAAATAAGTCAAAGTGTACATTTTTATTTGGTATTTGATTTTTTTATTATTAAAATCTTTTTATTATACTTATCTTTTTGAAATAAAAAAATTAAATAAATTAATTAAATAAATAAAATATTATAATACCAAAATAGTAATGGCATTTAATGCAGTTGACTTTTCTGGATAGTAAATGTAGTAAATAGAATCTCCTTTTATATAAGTATAGATTGTATAATACGGAAATAGTAATGCAATAAATATTGTTAACTTTTTTGTATACTAAATCTGATAAATGGTATACCTTTTAATATAAGTATAGATGTGTATTTAATGGTGAAAAACACCAACAATACCATCCCGGGACCTTAGCATTTTCCATGAGAGTGAAGGAAAGAGAGGGCCCCTAGGGCGTGAAGTCCAGTGGCGGCCCCTTTGACATAAGTGCATGTGGGGAGTGGATTAAAAGCCACACGTCGCGGGATCGATCCCACTATTGTGGGATTTAGGGTTGGGGGATCTCTGAATCCCCTGGGAGGAATAGTCCCACCCTCTGGGGTGGAAAGCTGGCCTTGAGAAGGCTTGATCCGGATGGGTCCATTCTCCCGACCACTGGTCGGTCTCCCTAGGTGGGCTTGGTGATGGCTGGGGCTCGGCGTCGATATCCCAAACGTGGAGATACCTCCCAGTCGTAAAAAGAAAAAAAAAAAAATAAAAACAAAAAACAAAAAACTGTCCTACCAAAGGATTCGAACCTACAAATAAGTGTAGTGCAGGGCATATACTAAAGGGTTCATTCATTTGAGATTCTTAAAGACCCTGTATATTTAATTTGGACTTTTATTCATTTGAGATTTTAAAAAGTCTTGACAAATATGAAGTATTTAATTTATTTGACACCGAGATTTATTAAAATTTTAAAATTTGTTGAGATGTCATAAACAAAAACCTTATACGACATTTCACCCCAAATAGACCTAAGATTTCCAAAGACTTCTCTTACATCTCATAGTCTTGAAAGTCACAAATATCAAAATGTCATGACTCTCTTGAAATCTTCAACGAATATATTCTTCCAAGTTTTTTTATTGTTGGATTAACACATGCATACTCACATGGATGTATTTCAATTTGATGGTGGATAAATGCAGTCACCAACAGAGTGAAATAAAACAAAGGAATTGTTGCTGTTCCTCTGATTTTTTTTTTTTTTTTTTTTCATGTGCTTCTTTTTTTGGGATTTTGATGGTGGATAAATGCAAGGGTCCAATGTTAGTACGACCAACAAACATCACATTTTACAATGTTTGTGTTGATCCCGAGATTCATTTGTTCTCTTTCCAAAGTAAGGTTCTCACCACTCTATACCACATTCTGTCCACAAAGATTATTTATTTATTTATTCTTAATTCGCCCCTCAGATCTTGTTTTTACTAATTAACTCGTAGTCTGGATCTCCGTTTCTTATCCTTCTCGTCCGAATATATTTGTTATTAATTTTCTCTTATATAATTATTCTTTTGAATTTTTTTTCTCAATTTCCAATTTTTTTCCTTATATGGGCTACCGCGCAATTTGTAAAATAAATTGTGGAATCATATTTGTCATATCGAAAGTCGAAACATTTTTTTTTGTTTATCATACTTTAAGGCTTAAGCATCATAAACACAACATTTTAATAAGATAAATGCCTATTCTTATTTTATAAATCTCAACTCTATCATAAGGCAGCCAATTTTTGTGTTGAATGAAAAGTGTGCAACATAATATTAAAATGGGTTATCCTGTGAATTATTGTCATATACGAGTAACCCACCTTGCATAATTGTGTAGACTTAGTCATGCAAGCCGTAAAAACAAGATCTGAGGGGCGAATTAATTAAGAATAAATAAATAATAATAGTATGCATGTTGGAGTGTACATGCTAAAATTCACCATAGGCGGTTCCTGACCGCCACAAGAGATGAAAAGTCGGCCAAAATTGGCCAGGTGGCACAACCGTACTGGGCTGCAGCCTAGACGATCAGCTGGTAATGAAATTTGATGTTTGAAAAAAAATGATTTGCGATCCTTCTCATGTTAGAGTGAATAGCTAATCTGTTTGTGTTTGTTTCCATTGGAGCTGATTGTGGGATACTTGTCAGGTTGTATTCAGCTCAACGATTGTGGTTGCATTATAGCGACCGTGTGTTAGATGGTAGAAAGAGAGAGTTTTACTCTATTTGTGTAATTGTGTTTGTGTTGTTTCAGTTATTATTATTATTATTATTATTATTATTATTATTATTATTATTATTATTNTGCTTGTATCCCCTGGTAGAGGAATGATTGTCTCCCAGTAAAAGAATATTGTGTCTAGTTTCGTGTCTAGTGTGTTTGGCTTTGAGTGGATCTCCTCGTATGAGCTTTTAGGAATTTTAGTAATATTCTATCGTTTAAAAAAACTGCTCGTGAAAAAATAATAATTGTATCTCAGTGTTGCCAAATGGATTTTCATAAAACTTGCATTCGGGTAGTTTCACCAAATATATTATATGTTGGAAAAAAAAAAATATGAATCCAAATAAAAGGACCCAATTTATGTTTTTCCGGTCAGACAATTATGTAATGATCAAATTGCATCGTGTTTGAAATCCTTCTCTACAGCATTCATGCATGATGCTGTAAAATAGGAGACTACAAAAATAGTATGTTACAGCTATTTTTCACACAGAAAAAAAAAAGGAAAGAAAAGGATATAGTTTTATGAAGATAATGAAGAGATGTAATGTTCTAATCCTTTAATTTCAAGTGCTTTCCTAAGGCATTAATTAATTTCCGTTTGATAAAAGATAAAAATAAATTTATCAAGGTCTCTTTACCTGTATGGAACATTTATTTTTCTAATTTTCAACCTTTTTATAAGTGTGTATATAAAGGTATTGAAATTTCAAGTATTTAAGTGTTTTTTTTTTTTTGGNACTTGATAAATTAGATAATTTATGAAATAAATATGTTTTTTCCCAAAATATGACAAATCACAAGGTAATGGAAAGAGATCTTATCAAATTATGAAGAACCAATAATATTTTGTTAGTTACAAGACAATTTGTTAGGATTCTCTCTTCTAAAACTAGTATCACACTTCATATTGAAGTTTCAGTCCAAGACTAAAAAATTATCTTGACAGAGATTTAATTTAATATATTTTTTATGATTTAAAGGCGTTATTGACGATAAAAAAAATATTTTAAAGATTAAAGCACGTTTATATTGAAGATTGACGTTTAATCCAAAATCAATTTTCAATGTTGGGAAATTAAGGTGTTTGATCCGGAGAAACTTATAATCTTCAGAAATTAATACGTTTGATTTGGAAAAATAAAGCTTTCAAGCCACCAAATTATCGTTACTCAAGTTCAAACCCATGGAACAAGCAAGTCCCTCATGAAGCTCACTCCAATTAAGTAAAGTTCTAATTTTTACTTCGAGAATAAGTTAATCAACATATCCAAAATAGTTTCAGAGAAATCCACAATCAAGCCTGAAGAAGATCATATTAACGAATCCACTTTGAGGATCCAAATCAAAATTAACGAAAAATAATTAGATGAAATAAATAGAGATTATAATCGCAACATGAATTGATTAAAATTTAAATCATGCAATTATTTTATGCTTTCTTTCATAAAATTTATTGTTGGAATTTGATTTGACAACTTTCCATCATTAAAGACGACTCAAACTCATTCATCACGATGAAACAGAATGGTAAATTGTGAAATCTTGATCGACTTAAATTAAATCCAACAAAAGTACAAATAACATGAACTATTGCAAAGTAAATCTTGTGAGCACATCATTTAATTTCGGCAGTTTCATTACATTACATATAATAATATACTTTCGGGTGCAGCAAATCATGTAAACTTATAACATGAACTGGGACAATAAGAGTAAGATTATATACTGATCATGTGCAATTATAAATCATGCAAACAAATAAATTATCGTAACATGAAGTTGGTACAAAACTTATGAACTCTAATTGATGTAATTTCATACATGCAAGCATATTGTGTATGTTACATAATACATGGAGTACAATTTCATTAAAATGATATTTAATCCCACATTTATATGTCACTCCTAACATTCATTAATACATCCACAATACTTTGATAATGGTGAACCCTTTCACCCATATCTTTGTATTGACATCATTAAATTTTGGAATGAATATTAAAAGCAAATGTTTGGGCAATTTCAGTCAATTCCGACCTTATATATTTTTTATGTGGTCCTGAAGTTAATGATCATTTATAATCTATCTAAAAGTTGCTCGGAAAAAAAGATTTATTTATATTTTATATATTAAAAAAAAAATTATTTTTGATTACAGTTCTGCATGTAATTAAATTCTGTGTTTCTTAATTGCAGTCGATTGAAATTCATCTACCAACTCTGTCACCGTAATGTTGGTGGATGCTGAAATTATTACCTTACTTATGCATCTGTTTCAAGTTGTGTTTTTGGTGATATTAATTCCATTCTAATGAGTAATTTTTTGACAATATAATATTTTAAAGTGTTCTTTTGTTTTTTTGATTGAAAAAAAATACTATAAAATATGAGTTGTAACTTGGGACAAATGATAAGTTTGTCTAGTTACTTTTACCACGATAGAAAATATTTACTAATTAATTAACCAATAAAATCAAGCAAATGTGTACAAATACTTGCAAAAATATCCACTAACTATTTATTTACAAATTAAAAAGAGCAAAAAGTCCATTAAACTATGTGTTTGGACTGAATATTTGTAATTAGTTAACGGACATTTGATGCAATCACACAATTTGTTAATCAAAATTGTCATATGTATAAATTACTGAGCATATTTTGCCTTTTTTAACTATAGCCATACAAGAAATTGAGAAAGAATGGAGAAGCTTTTTCTGCATGAGATTGTTGACTCACGTCACAAAGCTAGTGAGTCAAAGTTAGTTCAATATTAGTTAGTCAATTTTGATTCGAATAGCCCATACTTTGAAATAAAAATATATGTTTTATTTTGAGATAACATGCTTTTAAATTAATTAAATAATTATTTCATAATTTATTTTTTCAGCATATATATATTTTAGCAAAAAAAAAAATATATAAATTTTATAAAAAAAACGTCATGTTTGGATAGGGGGCTAACACTATAGCCTATTGACTTACTACCTAATATTTTCCTAGCCTTATATATTCATGACATTAGTTATTACTTATTACTTTGTGACGTTACTCTTTCAAATTCATAGAGATCTGAATTCTATTAATTGATATCCAAGGGAAAGCCGTAGCGGAAACTAATAAAGAAAGAATTTTCAATTGAATGCCCAAATGCTTTTTTTTAGTTTGTTAGGTTACCAAACTGAATTTGAATTTAATACCAACATATAATAGTATATTAAATTATGAATAATATAATGGAGACCGGAAAAGGAAAATAAAATTGGAACGGCCTTTCGATGAGAGTGAAAAAATTAATAGCGTTTTTTAGTAGAGGATGAGCAAATCGAAACGGACTGAACAATTAAGCCAAACACTCAGACCATTTATTGCACAAATTGCCATCCAAACAACTCCAGCTACTCTGTAATTACTTCACTCCTCATATCAGGTTTAAGTTTGTTCGACATTGTGGTACATCATACATCATATATAACAAATTTGTGTGAAAAATTCAAGTTACTCCAGGGTTAATTGAAAAATTATCATGTTTGAATTTATTTAATTAATAGAAAGCTTGTAATATTTGAAATTGCTCAATTTAAGAATGATTTTGGTCGAAAATTCTATTTGAGATTAGAAATTTGTATTGTAAACTAATTTGAAACAATTTCGACCAATTACTCTTTTTTTATATAGTATCGATTAATTTGAGAATAATCTTGTTCGAAAATACAAATTCTGATCCGAGTTCAATGGGAAATGAATGTGTCAATTCATAATTTATTAATTTTTACCTCAAATGGACATGCTGCGCGTGTTCCTTTATATTTTTTGACAAAAAATATATTTAAGTTTCTATATAAAATAATTCTCAAATTGGCTGGCTTAACTATTTTATATAAGTTTCAGAATATTATATCCTTAAATTGGTTAGTTATAAAAATTACAAAGAGTTATTATTATACACCCAAAACTGTTGGACTACTTTTGAAAGTCACCACAATTTAACAACAAACCATGGATCAAATTACCTATGAATTTTAACCACCCCGCTTCTCTTTTTAAGGTTCTAGCATTGCTTTTTTACCTTTCCCCCTCATTTCATAATGGTGCCTCAAATGATACGCACATAAACTCACAATCAAAATGCAAATTAAGTTGACTATTGGGTCAACATTGACCAAATTGAGTTATATTAAACCAATAGAATGCACTTCAGTAAGCTCATGCTGATAGTTCAACTATTAGATGACCATGTTTTTTTCAATAAATAAATGTGCATATTTTTAAATTAAAATGTCATATCCTAAAAAATAATATAAACAAATTACGGTATCTCATAATATAAGTATACAATTTTATAACAAATGTATGACAAACCGACTTGTTCAATAGTTAGACAAATGTATGACAAACCGACTTGTTCAATAGTTAGACTGTCTCGCACAAATATTTACTAATAAACTTGTATATTTGCACACACACATACTTCATTTTCTTCCCGAACAATCTACAAGTCGTGAAAAATTATGTAAAAATATAAAAATTGAAAAAAAAAAATTAAATCCAAATGAAACTTTCAACGAACATGTCGTACTTTGGATAAAAGTAGTGAAAAAAAAAAAAACCCATAACAAACAAACAAATTAAACCCCAGGTCAGATGAATTTTCCGGTAGTGATTTTTTCAGTTATACCGTAACAGAACCTCGGTTCACCGGCTATGATCAGTCGCGGAGCCCCGCCACGTGTTCCCCCCTCATTGGCTGCCCGATATCCCCCTAACGGCATCGCCATGTGCCTGTCACCGTTAAAAGGGTCAGGACCACATGTTACGGTAACCGCCTCACTTAATCTGCACCCTCCGATTAAATCGGCGATTTTTCCCTAATTTCCCCTTCTGCCCCTACCTTCTCTATCTGTCAAAAGTTGAACAAGAAATTAACCTTTCCATTTTTTTTTTCAGGTCGATCAAAGCTCAAAAGTCCCACACAAACACTCACTCGTTAATACACAAACACACGCATATATATATGCATACAGACCTACACACACATTGACACTAAATTGACTCTCACATATATTATGTATCTATAGGAGAGAGAGATGAGCGTGACAGCTAAGGCGTGGAGAACGACGGCAGCGGACATGGAGTTGATTTCCAGTAAGAAAAGGAAGTTTTGCTCAGAGATCGAAAATGAGGGCTACGGCGGCGGGGAGGTGGAGCCGTCGCCGGAAAATTCAGCGTCGACGGCGGCATCTACGACCTGCGGTGGCTTTTACGAGCACGAAGAGTGCTCGAGCGGCGTCGTGAAGAAGAGATCGTCGGATTTGGAGGTCAGAGTTTTCGAAATTCTGTATTATGTGGAAGTGAATTTTTTTTTTTTGGATAAACTGTTTCGACTTTTTCTCTTACGGATTTTTTTTTCTTTTCTTCAGATTGTTGATTTGCAGTCCGAATGCTTTAGAACGGAGAGTTCCACGTCCATCGCTCGCGTATTCAGGTGAGCAATTGATGAAATTAATTGTTTGAGTAATTTGGCATTTGAGTAATTTTGCATTCAGTTCCGTTCGTTGTTTGATCTAATCCAATTTAATTTGAAATTCAAATGCGATGATTATCCGTTTATTGTCTCTGAAAAGCGCTTCATGTTTCGGAATTCGATGATGTGCAGTACAATTTTCGTGTTTTTCAGCAAAAAGCTCACTATTTTTTTTTCCGCTTTTTCAGTAGGGAAGCAACTCCAACCAGCGATTTTTACGGAGACTCGGATCAAGTGTCACTGCACCCAATCTTCACGGTAGAAGGCAAAAAATCTACACCTCCGGTGAACTCCCGCCGGAAAATTGTGAAGCTTTCGCCGTCTCCGTCGGATCTTGAGGAGTTCTTCGCGGCTGCGGAGAAGTACGACCAGAAACGATTTGTTGAAAAGTTAGTACCGATTTTCACTTTTTCAGCTCCACATATACATACAATATATGTATATATATTATATTTATATACACACAGTCACAGCGCTGAATCTGAAAATGCACGCCCAGCTCATTTTAGCACAGCCCGAATTGATTATTCCCTTAGCTGAAAAAGGCAAAAAGAGTAATGATTTTGTTGAATGTGGGTATTGTGATATTTTCAGGTACAACTATGATATTATAAGGGACGTTCCATTGGAGGGAAAGTATCAGTGGGTTCGTTTACACCCTTAAATGAAATTGCTACTCAAAAAAGGAAAAAAATAAAAATAAAAATAAAGGCATCTTTATATTCCTCTTTTGTTTCGTAACTTCCATTTTATTTTATTTTCATTTAAACAATTTCTTATGTTATGTGTATAGCAATTTAACATATCTATATATGTAAAGAAGAAGCTGGAGATTTGAATTTTGATCTCTAATGGAAGCTTTTGGGGGGTAAGAAGATATATAACATTCGGTGTGTTACTTTCTTGAGCTGTTTCTAATTGGCAAATATATAGAATTTTATTGTCATGTGCTGGTTTGATGGTTTAATTTGCTATCCATATATTGAAAAGGGTGTTTTTGTTTGGGCATACTCTGGTTTTTTCTGATAGTTGTCAATACTTGTGTGTGATGGTTGTTTGGAACTATTTCTCTTTATTGTTTGTGCTCAACATGTAGACCCTATATTGTTTGCACTCAACATGTAGACCCTATATTGTTTGCATGGAGTTGTGAAACCCAAATACCTTCCACATGTGTGTGTTTGGGGTTTAGTAAAACGTGCCAGAAATTATTTTGTAAGACGACTTAACTATCAGGTTTATCTGTCATATAATTCATAAAATAGAATTACATACTATTGATAACAGTTTACTTACAACTTACTATATACTAGTGCATGGCCCGTGCAATGCACGTGAAAACAATATTACGATTGTATTATAAATTAAATATATAAATAACATTAATCATGATATATGTATTGTTTTTACATTAAACCGGGTTGGACAGAGTCCGACCGGATGGACCGAGAACCGATTTATAACCAGTCTAGTTCGCTTGAATAAGATATTTGCTTTTGAATCCGTAAACACCAGTCAGTTGGATTTGTAGGATCGACACGATTTTTTAAATAAATTTTATTATATTTAAAATTATTTTAAATAAAATTACATATATAAATAAAATAGAGATTTATAAATTATTTATCAATTAGTTTAAACATTTAAATTTATAAATTTTTTAAATATCTAAGTAACACATTTTGTTTAAATTTATTACAAAAAATACTATATATATATATATATATATATATTAAAATGTTTATAAATTAAAATCCGAACAAACCACAAATGATTTAATAAAATAGCTTGATCGTTTCGATGACGGTCCAGTTCTGAGAACCTTATATTTAATGTACATTAATAAATATTATAATAAAACATTTTTTTTTTCACATAAATATTAATAAAATGATATATAAATATTCATAAATCATTAAACATGTTGTCATAAAAGTATTGTTAATACGATTATTTGAAATTTGGACTACATCACATTCACGTAATAAAATATTTTCAATATAAAATTTATATTTAGGTTCAATAATCGATTTTGTGTGATCGAACTGATGCATAACTTAGTCACGTGGGACCAACCAAGCCAACCAAGTTGTGTCAAGTTTTTTGACTATTTTAAATATTACCTAAAAATAATTCAATCAACTTGGGCAGTACCCTAATTCAATCACCTGATTGATCTGAAGAAATTTCTTATTTTCTTTAAATATATTTAACTTTATGAAATAAAAATATTTTATGATTCATATAATAAATGTCTACACCAACTGATAGTATATTAAGATCATAAATTATATATCTTAAGATGAATTAATTATTTTTACTTTATGCATATTAATGAAAAATAAACATAGTTATTTTCAAAAAATTAAGATGAATTGATTGATTATGCAATTTAAAGAATATTTTTAGCTTTCAATTTTTTTAAAGGCACAAATATAAAGACCGAGATTCTAAAACTTTTGTTATATTTTGAATTGAGATTTTATAAATATAGAGACCGAGATTTTAATTTTGTTCGTTGTTTCTAAGAAAAAAATAAAAATAAAAACATACACACTTAATAAATCTTAGCCAGAATTTTTCAATAATAAAATGAACTATACCCCAAAATTTAAGGTAGCATTTAATGTTGTATGAATTTTAAAGAAAAAATAAGAAAAATAATAAAACTTACTATTTATAGACTGCATTAAATTCTAACCTATTTTTTTACTACTATTTTTGGTAAATGTTAATTCTTATTATATATATATAGATTTCATAAAATAAAATCGCATAATAATACTATGATCTTACGTCGAAATATGACTTGATAACTTAAACAAGGTAAATCAATAGATAAGCTACTCCGAGCAAGAATAATTTCAATTAGACAAATTTATCTAAGGCGACGTTGTGTCTTGTGCATAAATTTTATGGAGTCATCATATATTAATTTGTTGACACTTGTATTAAATGTAGTTGTTGTATGCACATGTCTAACACATTATTTGTAAATAAATATGGATTACTATCTATAGCAGACTGGTGTCTTTTGTGATACTCTAGTGGATGCGTTCATTTAATTAATACTCTAGTCCTTAGTTACATGGTCCTAAATTAGCAAGGCTAGTTCATGATTTTTTTTTTTAAGGAAATTTATATATATGTATATATATATATATATATTATTTTTTTTTGGTGCGAGTTTGTTCGTGTGTGCTGGACCATGTGAATTGAAATAGGGGTTTGATTGAAACGTGTGCCATTTTCCTTTGGAATATTGGAAAATGATGAAGGGCAAAAGGATGATACACAAACCGGCCCAAAAATTTGCGTATTTCGAGATAGATCTGTACAGAATTGGTGGACCAAAATTATTTTCCACCAAGTTCCCAAATTGTAAAATAATTAAATATCTATTTTATGCTTGTGACAGGATAACTAGTTGGATAATTTTTTACGTACCCTGCCTCCAATATTGGCTATGCCATTTTCTAATTCTTTGGTGTTCCACAATTTAATGCATTGTGCTTAATACCGACACAATACAAGATATACAAATATCACAAACTTCCGCAGGTTTTCTAACAATGGAAAAAAAAAAAAAACAACTGTGTTCTTAATTCAATTATTTTAATTTAAATTTCACATTACTCTAGATTTGCAGAAATAAGAAAAGCATGCATTTGACAGGAGTACAACGTATTTTTTTTCTGTTAATGTTTAAAAAAAAAATGGTTGTTATGATGAAACGACAGATTGACAATAAAATTTAAAATGAAAATAAAAGTAAATTAAGATTTGTAAGAGAAGTGTGAATTGGAAATAAAAGTCGACTTTGATTTTTATTTCGTTTTCTTCATTCTCCTTAAGTCGTCTTTTTGATATTCACAAACCAAACAAATTAACTATCGATCCTAATACAGTTATTGATGTTTGTTGATCTAACCACTAGATGCGTGCACCAACATGATGAACTTCATCCTTATGAGGAACAAATTCACACGCAAATTGCACATAAAAAGTAATAAAAATAAATAAATAAATAAATAATAAATAAAAACAAGAAAGTGCTCAAATATTGTCATGCACTTGGGGCCTGGCCAGTTTGGCAAATGACTTGGTCCAACCACATAGTGTACATGCATGTACATGATGATCCCAAATACTTTACCAAAAAATGCCAATTTTGTCATAAAGTTTGGCGGTTATAATATAGAATACTGATTGTACGTTTTTGCTTTGCTTTCGTGCCATTTAGTTATACCTTTGTTGCAGGTTCTTGAGAATATATGTTGAGTTCTTGATTTTCAGTCATTTCAAAAAATATAGCTAAGATGTAACAGAGATCAGCGAGTGTAATTATCTACTCAATAAATAACTCGTAAGGAATATTTTCATCCATAAATTGTACATCTATATTGTAGTTATTACATCCATTTTATCTCTTAGACTAGCCACTAATTTATAATATTAATTAAATGTTTTAATAATATCAATAGAGTGAACTATAATATATACCTAGCTAGTTAGCCATTGAAATAGCATTGCATATAAGAATAGTATTGTCAACTAAGTGGGATCCGAATAGTGTTTTGAAGTTCATGATGTGGCCAGAGAAGTAGTTAAGTAATTTCAAGTGTTGGTAGATTTAAAAGTGAATCCTATATATACTTGTAAACACAAACTATGCATTGTGCGTGCAATCGATTTATTAATGAAGAAGCCTTAAAGGTAATAGAACGTGTTGGAATATCACTTGTGAGTTGTCTCACATTGCTTCTATAATGAGCCTAACTTATAAGGCTAGTGGGTTACTCCTCTAATCACCAATTGTTTTTGGAATCGAACCTCATTAAGGTGCACATAGGCTCACCCTCATATGATGCGCTTCACCTGCATGGGACCACACCCTTTTGTCCTGATTCTTACAAGGTATCAGAGCCAGACCAACTTCAGCTTGGGCTTCTCTATACCCGGCCTCCTCTAGGCTCGGGCATTCTCTCTACCCTGTCTGCTCTGGGCTTGGGTTTCTCTAGAATTTGGCTTATGAAGGATTTACATGTGAGAGGACTTGTTTTGAATATTACTTGTGAGTTGTCCACATTGATCTTATAGGGAAAATGAGTCTAGCTTATTTAATGAGCTATTTTTCCCATCACCAATTGATTTTTGAGTGAACCTCACTAAAGCACCTAGGCTCACCCTTTTATAGTTGGCTGGAATTTGTGTATTTTTCACTTCTACTTTTAATTCTAGTGTTTAAACATATTTTGCTTAGTCTATATAGTATATACTCTTCTCACAACTTTTCAAGGCCGAAATTTGATTCTTCATAAATTACGAAACAGACGAGAAGCGTACATGTAGCACGTGCCGTGATGAAAGTGGTCGTCAACTGAGTTCCTTGTGCTTTGGATCTGATGCAACCAAATATACTAATACTACACAGCAACTAATTTCAAGTGCAATTAATTATTGAGAAAGTGCGATCGTGGTTGAGAAAAAAAAATGAAAAAGAAGTTTTCACATTCATTGATTTCAACGTTTTTAATCCTTTATTTCATAAAAAATAAATTGAGCTCGATTGCTGATAATGATGAAACAATGCTCCTAATAAATAAAAAAATTAATTAGCTGCTTTATTCATCCTTCTTCTAGATACATTGTGGATCTATGTGAAAAAAATTAAGATAATTTTTTTACCAGGACCTGAAAGAT